TGCGACAGTGAAAATGGGAGGGCCTACTTTCTGCCGGGTTCCCAAAAGGGGTAATAGAGAAGTGAACTTAGGAAGAAGAGGTCTTTGGTGAAGATAATGTGCTTATTGCTCGTACGGTGTGCGTCTATACGTTTTCTAGCGGAATTTAGGCCCTAGCATGTCTTTCGCCCTTGTGAATTTGCGTGATACTTATGCTGTTTTAATGGGCCTTTCAGGGAAGAGGTAAGGCTGTGAATCGAATCTGATGACAGGGTCGTCAGCTCCCGTGCCTAAGTGCGATTGCGCCTTTCCCCTCCTCAAACTTTGTAATTGTTCTCCCGATCAATTTCCCCCTAATAAACATGTCGAATTTAAATCCACCTTGTTGTTCTAAGATCACTAGGAACAGAGAAGAGGAGAGCTGTGAGTCTCGCCACGCATTTGTTCAAGTCGAAATGACCTAAACCTATTTGTAAGCATTAGCATGTAAGTTTTGCTACTGAGTAATGTTTACCAACTAAATAAGGCAGGAAAAGTAGAAATCCAGCAATTTTAGGAACAAGCATATTTCGAAGTATTGGACCAAAAGGACTTGCTCTCTAGTGCAGCGGAAGATAAGTGAAAGCTATAACGATCTGTTCTTGTCTTAACCTGCCCCAATTTCTCGAGCATCTATTTTATTTCCTATGTAGCTATGTGGTTGTCAAGTCTCCAGTCACTGTACAGGGGTGATAACCTAGTGGAGACATAGTGCTACTTTCAATATTCTTATCAATATTGGCTTGCCATCAGCCATAGTAATGATGTGATAGTCTGTCTTAGAGAGCCCCCCCCCCCTTCATGTATTTGGGCCACCTCACCCAGCACGATGATAGCGCGATCCGATCAAATGCCTATGGTCACATTTACCTCCTACACTGTGCCGATTGAAATGGTTGCCTGCACCGTCACATAGCATGTCACCGTCCAGTTCCGATTAACAAGCTTGTTCAACTCGTTGCTGCTTTACACACTTTACACATTCAGTGTATGTATCCATCCACCCACCAACACTGTCACGCGAACTTCATGCTTGTTTAAGGCTTAAATTACACGCTGTCATCTCTACAAAATACATCATTTATTACTATATTTGATTATAATTTCATCATATCTATTGTTCCTCTTTATTGCACGCGTAAGAAATTTAACGGAAAACCGTGCTCTTATGGACCAGCCGCAAATATCAATTGACAATTAAAGTCAAATTATGGAAAATTCCAGGTGCATAATTTTGACTTCATAGAGTGGATTCCATTTATTTTAATCGATTTCAAATTATCAGAGGTCACAAAGCGCCGCATGGGATGAGTTACC